TGTTCCTTTGTTACATTTCAGGTCCTAGCAGATAAAGTGAAGCATAGGCGCAAGTTTCAAGTCAATCAGAGATCAATTGGCGATTCGGGAGAAGAAACTCGGGCATGACCTGAAGAAGAATGGATTTCTACCTCACTTTATGGACAAAGAATCATGCAAGCTTGTCATGAAAAGAAATAGGACGAGACTATGAGCTTCTAGGATCAAACGTCAACTGATTCGGAGTCCGGACCAGGGAGAAACGAAGCATTGAATATAGGGGAACAGGTTCGGCAGTAAAAACACGGGCAGACTACCCTAAAAACACGGCCGTGTTTTATCTGGCACCCGCTAGTGTTTTTACTGCCGAGGGCGTGTCGTGAGGGCTGTTGGGGGCAAAACACGGGCGGGTAAAATTAAAACACGGTCGTGCCCTCGACCGTGTTTTGCCCAGAATCGGGTTTTTGAGGCAGATTCAAGCTAAAGGAAAGGGAGAGCTGGGTTTTGGATCCCAAAACACCCAAGGGATGAACCAAAGAGAGAGAGGGAGATTTGAGGGCATTCTAAGAGTGGAATTGGAGGATTTCTTCGCCTTGGAAGCTCGAGGAACAAGCCCGGACTTGAAGACTAATCATCTGAAGATTCTTACTGTAGTCTCTCTCTTCTCTATGGAGTAACTTCCCTTCACTTAGGTTTTGAGGAACCCTAGCTATGTTTGTTTGATTGGATGATTGTATGAGTACTCTGACTTGATAATCTTGAGTTCATATTCAATCTATGCATGTTTTCACGATTCAATTCTGCTTTAGTCGAGATTATTGATTCTGCTTTGATCCTATGAGAGCGAATACATGATTAGGTCAATAGAGCACCATAGATTGATAGTATTGGATCGATTGCTTTAGTCGAGGGTTGATTCAATGCTTTGTATCGATTGAGAACCTCATTCGATAGAGGGAGTCTAGTTCAGAACGCCTTGATCGGTTGTTCTAGAGAAGGATACGTCCCTCTAGGCAATCGACTTAAGAGGGCCTTGATCCTTTAGTCGAGATTCAAGGTCTAGTCAAGGATTCTCCGCATTGTGAATGAAAGTGAAACAAGTTAGAAATCATCCATCATTAATCTGGCTAGTGGCTAGGGGGAATCATACCTAAGTGAGTTCCCAACCTGTAGTTAGATTAACTTTAACTGTAGTTTGCTAGAATAGTTTTAGTTCTTTCATCTTAATCTGGTTTGCTAGATAATGAACTGAAGCTGAGTAATAGTAACTCTAGAGACCCGTGGATTCGATATTTATTACTTGAGCCACTATACTGCGGTCCCTTTCATTGGTTACACTTGGCCATTGTTAGGAGTTGTGTCATAGCGAGTCAAGTTTTTGGCGCCGTTGCCTTTCACTTGGGTGTTTTTTTTTTGTTGGTGCAGATTTGAATCACGGATCCTCATGGCTTCTCCAACCATTGGGGGTATCCACCACCATCCGAGTGGTATTACCCCGAGACTTCCTGGAGCAATCAAGGAGGAGAAGACTATGGATTCGGGTTCTAGTACCAACCCCCTTACCACGGAGAACAATCAGACCCCTAGGCATATCAAGAACAACCTCATTACCAAGAAGACTTTCTCCCACAACCAGAAGGGCCATCGGAGCTGGAGTTACCCATGGCGGCCTTCATGGGCCATTCTGCAGAGCCATGCTACACTCCACAGCCAGATCCAAACTATGAATTGAGGCTTCTCATGGAGCAGTTTGCTCGAGACAGTGAGAGATCATTGTCTAGGATGGATCTTTGTACCCAGGCCTATCGTGAAACAGAGGAGATCCTCTTGAGCCTTAAGAAGAGCGTCGATGATCTTGAGCGATCTTGTGCACAACCTGCTCCAGATCACCCTTCTGCTACCATACTAGAAGAGGAGGAGGAGGAGGAGGAGGAGGAGGAGGAAGAAGAAGGCTACAAGGACATTGTGGAGCACACTGAAGTTGTCACGGAGAGCTCCCGTGATGATCATGATCAGGAATGTCCTGTCGTAGCCGACCACACCTTCCCACATCCCAAACTGAGCTTTGAAGAGGCGGGCATGAGTGAGGAAATGCAAGAAAATCTCATGAAAGAAATTGCTTGGCAACTTGCTCTCCAATCCGTGCTAGAAGAAGAAGAGCGAGAAAGGGTGCAGAAAGAAGTTGTGGAGGATGACAAAAGTGAAGCAGAAGGAGTTCTTGATCATTTCCCAAAGGTGATACCACATAAAGAAGAAAGGGAGGTTGAAGAAGCAATTGGCGTCCAGGCTGAGGGCGAAGTTGAGGTGGAAGAGGCTTGCACCTGAATGATTGATTGATTTTTATCCAATTGAAGTACTTTCTCTGAATTACTTGAGTCTTGATCACATTCTAGTGATTCCTTCTTTGACCTAGAAAGATAATCTCTGCATAGGTCAATAGAGCACCTTGGATTGGAAGTAGTGGATCAGCGACCTTAGTCGGGAAGTCGATTCCTGCTCTAACTGGTTAAGAACCCAGTAGAGGAAGTTTTAACCTCATTGCCTTAGTTAGCTTACACCGATGGAGGTTAGTCGCCCGCCTAGTATTCTAACTGGGAGGGTCTGAAGCACTTTAGTCGAGGCTTCAGACTGTTTAAGAACTTTCCGTAGTCTGAACTTCAATCAACTTGGTTTAGGCGAATTACAACTTGGCTTAATTACAATCTAGGGGGACTCATACCTGAGTGAGCCTTCTCAAACGAGAATTCAAGGAGTAGTCATCACATCTAGGACCCATGTTGACAATTAAGACTAAACCCGCTATACTATGCATTTGTAGGTGGTTGCACTTGGCCACTTTCTAGTGTGACACTTTTAGCGTGTCAGTCTACCTCCCGCCATGTCTGGCAGTGTTTGCTGAGCAAGCTGACCACTGGAACTTCCACTTCCCCCCTTCTCCAATCTCGGAGGCTTCTTTGACACTGATTCCACTTGAGGCTCTACCTTCGCCGCTTTAGCGGGGTTCGGTTTTATAGCCCCACTTCCAGTCTTCCAGTCCTTTGCAAGTACGAGAAGGTCAGCAACGTTCATCATCGACGCGACTGAGTTATAATCCACTTCTTCAAAGAAGGGGTGTAAGAATGCGATTAGTACAACAAGATTAAAAATCAAAAGAGGAGGAACATTAACCATCAACAAAAATTTCGTAAAACACATCCTCGCATGACCCCTTCTGATAGAGATCCACACGTTTAGTCAGCAATAACTCATAGTACACATAATCCCCCAAAGTCGACTCGAAGTCCTTCACGGTCCCATTAGACCTCGAGGAAGGGAATGTTACAGGTAGGGCAGTAAGCCCTACGGGTGCCGGCTTCACATAAAAGAACTTTTCAAACCGATCCTTATCCAGATTGGGCAACCCGTGCACATAACTTTTAGGCCGGTTATCCCGCCACTTAATTGAGAGACCATCCCCCCTTTTCGGACCAGTCAATTGCGAAACCTTCAACTTGTAGAATTTTCGGAAAAGGCCATATGACAGATGCCAGTTTCTCCGTTTGCACATGGCACGCGGTTCGTAAGTATGAAATATGACTGAAGCTGAGAAGCAAGCCAGCAAGCACTTTACAAGGTTATATAACCTACAAAGTAAAGATCAATGGGAAATTTGAAGCCCATCCGCCAATACTCCGTGTAAAAGGGGGGCGGGGGGGGGGGGGGGGGGGGGGGGGAGGGAGCATACTTCCATCAAGTTCTCCGCATTGTTGTTACAACACGTCATCTCATCGGAAGAACTCCTGAAACACCCTAGCTCGGCCGAGATCTACTTTTACTAAAATGCCCTTGAAAAATAAAATACTCAAATCTTAAATTTCAGCGGGAAAACCTTTCGTAAATAAAATACTAAAAACGCACTCTTGAAATTCAAAGCAATGCCCTAACACGTGGGCAAATTAACTCAAACCTTAAAATCTCAAAATGATCTCCAGTCTGTACTCATAACCATAAAGTATATTAACTAATTCATCTCAAATACTGCTGTTGACTGATAACCTTAACTAGACATCCTCCGTGATGCTCGTGTCGTCCTCCTCTGGCTAGCTCCCCTCGAACCGTTCCTCTCGAACTCGCTTCTCTTTAACTGCTTCTCTAATTAGCTGCCATCGTGGTGGTTCTCGCTCATTCTTTTACTAAGATTTGGTAAGTGAGATGGGGTCAGGCTACGCCCTTACGTTTTAAAATCTCTTGATACTTGAGTACTTTACTTAAACACTTAACTTTAACTGCTGGAAGTTGTTCTTACTTACACCCTTTAAACTTTACTTCTTAAGTACGTGGGAGTTCGAGTTACTCGACACCCTCAAAACTTAAAACTATTTCTAAAGTACCTTACAACCTTTATTTTATGACGGGCCCCTACCTCGACTTTAGCTGACGCCACTATTAGCCTTACTTAACCATGGCTACCCTAACAATGGGCTGCCTCTTGATCTGAGTTTTGACTACCGTGTTACGTATCGCCGTCCGGTGTCAAAACTAGCGTATGTCAATCACGTTACGTATCGTCGTCCGGTTGCATACCTAAAACTTGGCAATGGAAACTGCATTACATATAGCCGTCCAGTTCAATGCCTAATCAACTACTGCGTTACGTGTCGCCGTCCAGTAGTGACCCAAAATACACGATCGCTGCTGCGTTACATATCGTCGTCCAGCAGTGATCTGATCAGCTACCGCGTCTAGTAGTGATCCATCGTGGACGTGGCTAGCTAAGTGGGGTTACTCATCTAGTTCTTACTTATTACTTTCTCTTACGCTCTTCACCTTAACTTATTTAAGGGTGAAGTACTACTAAAACTTTCCCTTAAACATCGTAAATACTTAAATAGCAAGACATAAACTTAACAATAACTCAACTAATAACTCAATCAAAGCATGTATAATCAAACACAGTCATAAATCAAATACTGCACATACTTCACGTAAAAAAAAAATACTTAAAGTAACATAAAGCGTAGAATTTACCCCTTTATACTCACCTTAAACTCCGTCTAACTCTCGACCAAAGAGTCACGGCCGGCCGCCAACACTTCTCAATAGCCACCACCGAACCAGCTTCGGAGCTTCCTGAGTTTTGAAATTTGGAACTCGCAAGCAAAGTTGAATCCCAATAAAGCCGCCACAGCTCCATATACGGGTGATTACAAACACTTATATGAAGGTCTTATCAAACGTGGTATTATCTTATTCTTCATTATAAACTCACAGCGTGGGTTTATACTGTTAGCTTCCACCTTGACTTTATTCCTTCTAAAGACCCATCATCTCCCACCTAAATGCATACCGTACATGCTTAGTTCCCACTGATTCCTTTACATAGGATTATGATGAAGCAATTAACTTAACCGCCCAGTTAACAAGGTGTACCGCTAATACTACCCAGCCCAACCATCATTCTGATATTAGCTCGCAATTTAACTCACACCCACGCTCGATTTCTTTACGAGCTCCCCTACGTTAATTTCTGTCTCGTCCTTGTATTCACATGCTAGCTGACATATTCTACCATATATAAACATATAATTAAGGACCGGATAACAGACTCACTCACCGATTCATCGCACGTGGCCATGATGGAGAACTCTCTGATAGACTTACCCCGTGAACGACGAGCTTCTCTACTATGATTCAGGCGCCATGATCAACCCATCCAATTCCACCAACAACGTCGATATTGATTCCGACTCCGCAGTAGTGACCGGCCTGCCGCTAGCTCTTTCCGAGCTCCGCACATCAGCGACCTAAAAAATAATCACGATGGCCATTCTCCTATCTGGATCTCCTCATCCCCTCGAAAATCCTGACTTTTCATCCATCTCTTTCTCGTCCCAAAATGAATGGACGAAGAACCCATTCGACTAGTCTGAGTGGTGGCGAGTTTGGTATCCTGATTTTAGCTAGCTGCTCGCTCCCTCACCGACCTCCCATTAACGCACATCAATCCGAATTAAAATCCTCACAGTTAATTATTTCCTTTACACAACGTGACTCCACCTGCTTTCCCGGCCAATTTTCCCAGCTGTTTCTGCCAATGCTGCCCTGCTTCTCCGAATTTACCTCGTCGATTTGAAGAGAGAACAAGAACGGGCTTAAGGCCTCGCTCTTCCTCCGCTTCCTGGGCCAATAGCCCGCTCCTTCTCTCCCCGTTGAGACCTCATACAAGCCGAGCTTGAGCCCTTGCTTTTTTTTTCCATGACCGGGTTGGGCCTGGCCTCGGCCCACTCTCTTCACAACTCACGCCAGCCCAATCGGTTGTTTGGATTTTGAAGCGATACCTAATTACGTCCATAACTTCCTCATTATACATCGAAATTTGACACCGGTCACACCGATAGTTCACATTTTTAATATCTATCGATATTATGGTGGAACTTGACGAATTAATCCAATGGTAAAATAGTCATTATGACTCTTTGGAAAGAGCATGGTGTAACAACTCCAGAGAAATTTGCTACCTCTACTTCTACATCCCACTACAACAAAACCTACCTATAGTGGCTAAATATTGAGACAAATGTTATAAATGCCTCTAAAGATTCATTATATACAACATATATAAAATCTGCCTTTTTGTAACTACAATTATATGCCTCCAAAGTTCTTCATAGACAACAAATGTATAATTGCCTCTATAGATATTACTAGCTGCCACTAAAACTATTGTATATACAACAAATAAGGTGATTGATTGGGTTAGGGAAGAAGAGGGGGAACGGGTCAATAACCGAGGTCGGCTCAGGGGTTGATTGGGTTTGGGTTTAGTTTTATGACATGAAGTGGTTAATGACGTGGCATGTTTTTTTTGTTTTTGTTTTTGTTAAAATTGGGTGACTCAACACCTCTGTTAGCCACGTCAGCAGTTAACTGACAACACTAACGGAGTCTGACGGAGGTTAACGGAGAGTGACCAAAGTTGGACTGTGTATCTAATTTAAGTGACTATGAATGGAATAAATTAATTTGAGTGATAAACGTGAAATTTTGTAGCAATTCGAGTGACCAAACTTGCAATTAAGCCCAAAAGTATGTGTTGGATTTTCGTTGTCTGTCTACAACTGAAGACTAGGTCTCTATTTATACTAGTTACATAAAGGGGTTTTCTAGTATTTTCTCCTCTAAGTTGACTCAAAACCATCATTGTTCGAGTGTGACACAAGTTCCTCTGACTTAAGGATGAATCAGGAGCATCTAGAACCTTCTAGGCTTTGGACCCATCACCGCGGCCCAGCGGCGGCACCCACCGCCGCCTCAATTCTTCTTGGGTTGAGTTGGGTGGCATGCAAGTAACCTCTTCATGAAATTTGGGCTCGACTGGCCTTCATCCATTATTTCTTTATATTGGGCTCAGCTTTCTCCGGTAGACTCTTCTTGGGCTCTAGTTGAGACTTTAAGATGACTACCCCTCCACTAGGCTTGGTCTTATGGGTGAAAACCCATTTATCTTCCCAAATATGCAAATTTGATCCTCAATAATTTTTTAAGGTTTGATCCAAAGTATCCTAGATTGGGCTTCACCTTGAGAAGCACATAAATCTACAAAAAATGCATAAAAAGATACAAAAATACAATCTAGGTCTAAGAATAGATTGCTGAACAAATTGTTATGATATTTAATTGAAATTAAGTAAAAACTTATAAAGATGCATTGATAAATGGGAAAAATATTTCAAATATGTGAGTTATAAATAATATAAACTAAGTGTTATGAGAAATATCCAACACTTGAACTTTGTTTATGAAAGAACCCCACTTCTAGGGATTCTAGGGACTGATCTTCGGCACATGCAATTACTCGTAACAAATAGGGATTTAGGGATTGAGAGAAATAATTAGGGATTTAGATGAGAAGAACAGAATATAATCATGAATCGACCGAAGCCTTGCATTAAGAGAGAATAGAAATTAGGAGTTGAGAGGAGAAACTAGGGTTTATGATACTTTTCTTAATATTCCTGTTGATTGATTATCAATGAAACCCAAAGTACATATTTATAGGAAATAAACCCAAAACCCTAATAAACTAATCCTAACCTAATCAGCCTACATTGGCCACCTAACACTTCTTAACAAACATCATTAATTATTATTATTCTACTAATCATATGTCTAACATTCCACCCTCCTTGAAAGCGACCTTGTCCTCAAGGTTGCAGTCAACTTCTGTCTTGATCTTCCGCCTTCCACGTTTCGAATTCCTCCAATTATGCTCCATTACATGATTTGGGCTTCTTGCATTGACCTCCTTTTGCTCTTCAAAAGAAGACCCAATCAGACAACACAAATTGAGGCCCAATTTCTCTAGGGAAACTCGCCCCATCACGCCTATGACCCATCACGCTTCTGCTGTAGAGATGGGGTACCGTTTCCCAGCCTTCCTCAACAATTGGGTTTGACCCAACTTCATTTAGGACCCTCCCTGTTGATCTACCCTGACGCGACCATGGGCCTGTTCTTGTCAGCATGCGCCACCACCTGCTCGGCCCAATAATGCGGCCTGTTGTTGCTGAGTTGCGAAACCCTTTGCGACTTGGGGTTGGAGAGGAGAACGCCACCCTTCTCCTTCGTCTTCTTTTCCAGTCGCCAGATCCCCATCGCCGACGGCTTCTTCCACCTTCCCGACGGCGAGCAGCCACATCGGCGACACGAAGGCCAGCCGACTTTCATCCTCGTCTCCAATTCCTCCCCCACGTCGTAGGTCTCTTTCCTCTCATCCTTCAGCGACGAGCTCTCCTCCGCCTTCTGCCCCGACGTCCAATGGTCCTTCTCGACGGCACGGTGGCTCGCTCAAATCCGTCGTCGTCCTCAGCGCCGCCTCGTCCTCCGACCTTGCATCGTTGGCCGCCGCCGTCGCGGTGCTCTGCCATCTTCGCGTGGCTCTCGAAGCTCCAAGTTGTCCGAGCACCTACACTCGAGGTTGATGCCTCGACTCGAGCTGCTGGTAGTTGTAGTTCTGCTGCCATCACCGGGACCTCGTCGTCCCATCATTCATCTTCATCGTCGTTCCATCGAACGACGCGAGCTGCGCCAACAGTTGTTTTATTTCCAAGAATCATCTTCCATTAGTTTTCTCCAATTCGTGTTCTTGAGAACTCGACATGATTTTGATGTGGGTGTCTGCAACTGAGCTGTGATACCACTGAAAGAACCCCGCTTCTAGGAATGCTAGGGACTGATCTTCGGCACCCACAATTACTCGTAACAAATAGGGATTTAGGGATTGAGAGAAAGAATTAGGGATTTAGGTGAGAAGAATAGGATAGAATTGTGAATCGGCCAAAGCCTTGGATTAGGAGAGAATAGAAATTAGGATTTGAGAGGAGAAACTAGGGTTCAGGATACTTTCTTAATATTCTTCTTGATTGATTATTAATGAAACCCAAAGCACATATTTATAGGAAATAAACTCAAAACCCTAATAAACCAATCCTAACCTAATCGGCCTACGTTGGCCGCTTAACCCTTCTTAACTAACATCATTAATTATTATTATTCTATTAATTATATGTCTAATAGTTTGTCCCTAAGCAAATACAATTCATAATCATACAACTCAAGGAAAACTAAGAAGCATCACCTAATCACGATCTTAGGTAGTGAATCAAAAGTGAACTAAATATAGAACGAGAGAATCCTAACCACATTGACATGCAAGAACACCATATAATCCAAGTGAAGCTTAAACCACTAAAAATGCATTAGAGTCTCAAAACACATACTGTGAAGCTTTTTTATAACGGTTTTAGCTCTTGATTACTTATACCATTACTTCTTTTAACTCTTGTGCCTCAATTAGTGTGGAGAGTAAATGAAATTAAGTGGTGTCAGAAGCTCTATTTGTGCACTTAAAAACACATCCTCAAGTTGGCTATCTATTCAAGAGGTGGAACTTTTACTTATACTAGAGAGGAACTAGTTCGAATAGGGTCACTGAACAGCCACTACTATCTCTTCCAAAACTCGATATATGCAATAAAAAGAGGCCTCACACGTTGGGCTTACCCCATACTTTATTTCTCAACACAACATGGCAAATTCTTTAAGATACAACCATGTCTTGATCGTTTTTTTTTTTGCATTTTTACCATGGTTCAAAAAGACACGCTTAAGCTTACGCTAAGGTACGCCTAGGCGCAAGGCAATGGAAAAACGCCTCGCCTAGGGGTTTAGCGCCTAATTAGATGTTGGAACACTTCAATGGAGTAAGGTGACATCTAAGTCTCTCCTAAACATTTATAGATGGAGCTAGGAAGTCAATATTAAAGGAGAAAGTTAACATTAACTACTAAATCAATTTTCTATATTAATATTTTCAATAGCTCAAGAACTTTGTGAGCTATTGATCTATAAATCTATAAATTCGTGAGCTATGTTCTTGTCATTAAGTGTTGAGTAAGTTATTAATCATTTAAACTGAAGTGAGGAAGTGTTGTAGATTATTATTCCATTCGTCATGCGAATAGCTATTTTCTTCCAACGCCTAGGCACGCTTAGTCTACGCCTAGACAAGGTAGGCGCTAGGCAAAGGCTCAACGCCCCGCTTACGCCTAGCGCCTTTTTGAACCTTGATTTTTACAGAAGATACAATTCACCCTATAGAAAAATAGTTTGAAAAAGTGAGATGCTTTTGCAGAATAAAAAATCCAAGAATGAATCAAACCACATAACATTCATACATATCAAATGGCATTATATCTCATTGATGGATGTTTTCATGAATGACATCAGTTGGGTTTCCATTTTCATGTATTGAGCTGTTGACCTAAGAGGGAGAAAATCTCCTTAGAGCCCATTATTGGCGTCTTCGGGTCACTCCTCATCCTATATCATCCGGGTAATCCCCGAGGGAGTCGATTCCCTCAATCTCATACGATATATGTTTGCCCTAGGTTGAATAGAGTTGACCACATTCATTGATTCGCCGTTCCGGGTCATTATCGAGGGAGTCTATCTCCTAACGGTAGAGTAATTGAGTTAATTGATCTTTTGAAATAGGAGGGAAACAACTCCTCACCCCATATCGTCCGGGCAATCCCCGAGAGAGTCGATTGGATCGATCTCCTACGATATAGGGGTGCCCTAGGTTGAATAGGGCTCCTACCCATCCATCACTTCACCGTTCCGGGTCCGTCCCGAGGGAGTTCATCTCCTAAAGGTAGGTTAGTGGGTCGATCGAACTAGGAGGATATTCAAAATCGATCCAAGGGTCGGAAATAGGGGGATTTAACCCAATGGAGCTCCAAACCTTGTAAATAGCTAGGTTATTGGTTAGTCTAGGTTAGTTAGCTTAGTTTTCCTAATCACTACTCTAGGTTGGCTAGATAATGAACCCTAAACCTGAACTAGGGTAAGCCTAGATCCACGTGGTACGATAAATTCTTATTGCTTGCTTGCCCTGTGCTGCACCCGGTCGTCGGTTATACTTAACCGGCGATTGGGATGTTGTAGTTAGATCGAGTCAAGGAGTTATGTTGTTGGATAAGAGTCCGCTAGAGGCTGGAATTTGGGGAGGTATATGCTTCAATTAGCTGCCTGAACGTAATTGGAGGTATCGAAAGCACGTGTATTGTCACCCAACCCTTGCTATCGTCTACTATAAACTACAAGGAAGCTTCTTCTATATCAATCCGGGTTGAGTATAATTTTGTTTAATTCGCCAATTAACTCGAAGCTTGAGGACAAGATTCTTTTCAAGGGGGAGGACTATTATGTGTATAAGTAGGGGGTCTATTATTATTAGTATTGAGCGGGGATTAATTAGGATACATAAGCTTGCAGGATGTAGGAGTATTTATTAGTTTGAGTAACAGCCAAGTAAAGGGGTGTCAAGTAGGATTAGGATTAGTTTAGCATTATTGTCTATATATATGTACTTATGACATTAGTTCTATATCATATATGTACTTATGACATTAGTTCTATATCATGAATGGAGAAGAAAACCTTTTTGTTTAATGTTTGTTTATGATTTATCATTGTGATTTTCATTGGAGTAGCATTAACGTAGTTGTTCAATCTCGTTACGTAGAGACCCTATGCTAAATCTACATAACATCTAATTAAGAACAGAGAAGTAAGGACATCACTTAGTTAAGTGTGAGCCTCTTGAGCCATAAAAAACGCCGATAGGATTGGTGATCGAAATAATTAAGTATTGATTCTATATTTGTATGAATGGGTGATCAATCATCCCATACACGCATAGGTTAATGGAATTTCACAAGAAATTAGTTTCCTAACATCCTATATGATATTAAAAACAATGCATATAGTATCATTCAATAGAATCATAAACATTGAAATATAAACATCCATTGGCAATATGAATATCCAGATACTCAAGCAACTAAAGAATAGAATATCACGAAATTATAGAATAAAAAGTTATATTATAATGAGTTCGCGTTCCTACAAAATCACTTCGAACTAGCTATACATAGAAGAGAAAGAGAGTACCATTATCGATGATGACAACATCTCATTGACTGCCCCCTCCTATGGATGCTAAGTTGTCCACTCAAGAATAGCATAACATGAAATTATAGAATAAATAGTCATATTATAATGAGTTCACATTCCTACACAATCACTTTGAACTACCTATACATAGAAGAGAAAGAGGGTACCACCATCAGTGATGACAACATCTCCTTGACTGCCCCCTCCTATGGATGCTAAGTTGTCCACTCAATGCATAAGATTTTTGTAGCATGTCTACAACTGAGGTCTAGCTTTCTATTTATACTAGTTACATGAAGGGGGTTTCTAGTATTGTCTCCTTTCAGTCGGCCTAAAAACTTTCTTGTATGAGTGGGTAACAGATTCCTTTGACTTGGGGATGCAGCAGGAGCTTCCAGAACCTTCTAAGGCTTGGACCCATCACGGCGGCCCAGCGGTGGTACCCAGTGCCACCTCAATTCTTCTTGGATTGTGTTGCTTGGCCCCCAAGTAACATATTCATGCAATCTGGTGACCGTCGTCAATACTTTTTTCAGGGCTTAGTTTACTCCATTGCGCTCCTATTGGACTCTAATTGAGACTTACAGAAGACTTCCCTTCCATTGGGCTTCGACTTATGGGTGACATGCACCATTTATCTTCCCAAATCTGCTCATTTGATCCTCCATAATCTTCCAATAACCTTTGATCCAAAGTATCTCAGGTTGTGTTTCACCTTGGAAAGCACAGAAATACACCAAAAAATATAAATAGATACAAAACACAATCTAGGTCCATTAATAGCTCATTTATCTAAGAGAGATGATATTTATGAATTACTAAAACCTCCTAAAGATGCATCAATATAATGAAAAATATATCAAATATGCTTATGAGAGTGATAAATACTATAAATTGAGTGTAATGAACACTTCATATAGGTAAATTAATTTTTGAGCGTATTTATTTTAGTGTTCAGACTTGTTGAGGTAACACATATCTAACATGTAGATAGACTTGGTCGGCAGATTGGAAAATAAACAGCTTCTTACAACAATTGTTTAACCTTGGCGCCGTATTCATTCACTGATTTCTCCTTAGATTTTCCATAACTCAAAATCCAAAGGGATACAAGTTATAAGTCACAGTTCTATTTGGTTTAACCATGAATACACAAAGCCACATAAACCTGCAAAATTTCACTGCACACACCTTCAACAGCTTTCCATGCATTCCACTTGGCTCTATCCCTCATGTTGAACATCCCCGGACGGCCTGTAAAAGAACAAATCGATGAGATGAATCTCATGAAGTCGAACTATTGACATCCAGTGAAGTAACAATAGTAGAATGTTGTGATATGGATCAGGGCACACACAGGTGTTGACTTGGGCCAACATTGGCTTGCTTGAACAGTCCAAACAAAATAAGCTTGTTCTCATTCCAGGTGTTCTCCAGCAATGTCATTGAATTCTGAGCGTGATCAATCAAATTCCTCTTGCCATCTATACAAACGTACTATCAAAGCAATCACTAGATTTGCAGTTAACCAAAAATTTCTAATAGATCCTCTGATTTTTCAACTTCAGGTGACCAAATGCAAATCAACAAATTAGCCAAAAAAGTGGAGTAGCTTGCATAGTGTTCAAAAAATTAGATGATCCAAGTAACACTACCAATCAAGGATGAACCCAGATCCTGAATTGTGTTAAAGCAGGGATCTTGGAATTAAGCATGCAACACAGTAATAAAATATGCAAAAGATATGACCCAATAATCTCATTGTGAACAGTACATATTGAGAAAAATAGTTTTTTTAATAAACAGTAAAAAGTGCCTGTGCTAATAATAATAATTATAATAATAATAATATTATGGATAAAATCAAGTTATAGCTTTTTTCAAATTTATTTGAAATTAGGGTTCCAAGAAAGATATATAGAGCAAAACTCTTCTGCAAAAAAGCTATGATTTGATTTATATATGCTATGATTTGATTTATATATATATATATATATGGCGAGTTCTACGGTATCCTGGGTGACATCCGGGGTACCGCATACCTTGAGTATGAAAACACTATCTAGACCTTGAATTGACCGATCTTTCAGATATGATACTATACTCTAACACTTAAAGATCAAAATCTATGTGTTAACTCTCCCAATCTTATACTCCAAGATCAATTTAATTAGAAACAATAATCGACGGTTATGATTCATCCAAATATAGGCACAAAAAGGAATGCACCATCTTAGGGTTTATAAATTATGATTTAGATAATTATGACCTACGGTTCACTCATTAAGGGTTAGGGTATAATATCAGACACAAAAATCCTGGTAATTCGAGGTCTAGATAGAGTTTACATACTCGAGGTATGCGGTACCCCGGATTTCACCCGGGGTACCATAGAAGCCACCATATATATATATGGTAATGACTGGTGTATGTCAGGCGTATATTATACGTCAGGTGATCTAGCCGTTAGATGTACTTAGATGAGCTCCGATCGATCTCAACGGTCAATTTTTGTTTTTCATTAAATCAAACTTCGGGTTGGGGTTTAGAAAATCGGGGCCTTCATTAGAGGTTAGGGTATAGTGTCATACCCCAAACTCGATTTAATTCATGGTCTAGATAGAGAAATTTCACTAGTAGTACATGACGTATAGTATACGCCTGACGTACACCAGTCTGACCCATATATATATATATATATATATATATATATATATATATATATATATATATATATATATATATATATATATATATATATATGGTGATATCTTCGGTGCACCCACTTTTTTGGGTGCACTAAATGCACTCACTCTTCTGTTTAATCTTATCCATTGATTGCATCTAACGGTTACGATAATTTGATGAATTTATAATTAATTATTAACTATATTATATTTATTAAAAGAATTTAAACATATTAATAATTGCATTAGACCCCAAACCCTCTTCTTCCCCGATTCTTTCTCCCTCTTCCACCGTCGATTAATTCCAGTTGCCTGGCATCGTCGTCCTCCACCACTAATCCATCCCAGCGCACCAATCCAGCCGTCGCCGCCCTGCAGAGAACAACTCTTCGTCAAATGTAGGTTCTCCCGTCACTCGGCGATTCGTCTTGGATTTCTGATTGCTCCACTCGAATTCTGAAAAAGGAAATACCTTCTACAACAGAACGATCTCTCCAAACCTTCTCCCTTAAGCCCGCAACAAATCCAATTGCTACTCTGTTTCCGGTAAACTTTCAGCAGGGGAATCACTCCATCGCCGTCGCACTCTGGCTAGCTGTCCGACTCAGCTTCTTGCTACACGAACTCGTTGTTGGCGTTAGAGTTCATAGAAATTGGAATTAAGAATTTGTTTATTGGCTTAGCTGGATTAAATGAGACCAAGAGCTTCAATGGCTTTGTAAAACGCACGGGCTTAACTGTTAAGCCAGAGGTCGGTTACCAAATTTAAGAAACCCATAAACCATTTTTTCAGTGCATACTAGTAAGGTTGACAAATCAAGCACTCTTGCTTTAAAATTTGTTTCAGGTTACATGGGTAGGCCTTTAGTTCAATTTCTTGTCGATCGCGATCCGTTTGCGGCAATCCAATTCTTTATTATGCTTTCTCTTCATCTGTGGTCCCCGTCTCCAATGGCCACTCTGTACCTCCGACAGCAGCACAATTCCATTACGCAACGGACAAATCCATTTCAATTTAATCTTCTGTTGTTTGTCCAAGGTGTATAAATCAATTTAGGTAAGGTTTCATGATTCTTTTCGGTCATTCCGATAGGATGTTGCTCTGCATTCTTCGACTTGTCGTCTCAACTCCCGCCATTCCCGTCGGCGCCGGCCACTTTGGAGCTTCGCTCCACGTCCAGTTCATCAATCAACAAGCAGACTTCAATTATGTATAAGGGATTATTGGATCGGTGACACGGCGCGGAAGTAATCTAACTGCGACATCGAGTTGATTGGAGGAACAATTTCATCGATGGCCCAATTCCTCTTATGGGAAGAACGGAGAGATTATGCGGCATATAAAAAAATGACAAAATTTATTTGTCTTTTATTTTCTCTCGGTTGAATTAGGGACCTCAGATGAAATTATAAATAAGCGTATTATTTTAATAAATAGAATTACTTTGTTTATTTTGGATTAATTATTTATTTGTCAAATTATTTTCAACCGTTAGATATATTGGAGGGTCAAGATTAAACAAAAAAGTGGGTGCGTTCAGTGCACCCAAAAAAGTGGGTGCACCGAAGTGGCCACCTATATATATATATATATATATATTAGGTGGCTATTTCGGTGCACTCATTTTTTTAGTGCATTGAAGAGTATCAATAAGACATCGAATTTTGAACTATAACCGGTAACATTAGTCTAATAAGATGATATCACAAAGAATCACAACTAATCAATTCATTACCCTAACCCCTAAATCTTCAATTTTGAACACCAACCCTAAACCCCAAATTGTGAACCCTAACCCTGAATCCATAAATCCTAAATCCTTCAAATCAAGTATAATCTTGAATGGATTTTTTGTAAATTCATAGGTTTTCCTGCCTTTGATGCTACAAGTGACAATTGACATCGTTTTGACATGAATCACATGCTCAAAATGCCGATTAAGAAGTGAGTGCATTGAATGCACCAAAAAAAGTGAGTGCACCGAATACACCACACACACACACACACACACACACACACACACACATATATATATATATATATATATATGGGTCAGACTGGTGTACGCCAGGCGTATACTATACGTCAGGTGATCTAGTCGTTAGATGTAGTTAGATGAGCTCCGACCGATCTCAACGGTCAATTTTTGTTTTTCATTAAATCATACTTCGGGTTGGGGTTTACGTACGTCAGAAGTACATTGTACGCCCGTCGTCTTTTACTATCTAGAGCACGAATTAATCGGAGTTTGGAGCATGATACTATACCCTAACCTCTTGTTACATCCCGCTCTTCCCAAAAGTCAAAATGACTATTATACCCTTGGGTCAAGTTTCACCGTAATGTCGAGGAGGACTTAAAATGTGAACTATCGGTTCAAGCGGTGTTGAATTTTGACACAAAATGAACAAGTTACGGACGTTAACTGGGTTTCGGATTAACCTCACCCGATATCTTAATAATCGAGAAATTCCCAAAATACACTGTGAACCAATTAAACCCTAAGCTAAGCGCGTACTATATATACCTAATGGAGCATCAAACCCCGATCAGCCTTTCTCCTCCATGTCACCGCCGGTAAAGAAATAAAAAAAAGAAAATTGAAAAGGGTCACGTTGTCCAAGAGCGGAAGAGGATCGGGACTTGGCGCTGGAGCATTCCTCCTCGGTAACCGCCATGGCGGTGGAGGAGCTCAGCAACAACCCTAGGCTAGCTAGGTTTCGGATTTTTCTTTCTGAAGCAGGAGGACTTAGTAGTGGGTTGCGGCGGTGATGGCAAATTCCTACAAATGGCGATCAACCGGGGAGCAGTAATACGGAGGTAAGGCTCGCCTCTTTTTCTTGGAATTCCGGTCGGTGATAAATGGGTGGTAGTGGGGGTTACGTGGGATCTCATGGCTATGAGCAATTGAAGGATTAATAAGAAATTAAATCTTGCATTGCTTTATAAACAAGTGAAGGAGTGTCGCTATTTGGAAGGGTATGGCATTGAGAACCAAATTAATCTTAATCAGAGATGTTTCTCATTGGGTAGAAGATAGTTATAATTCATGGTTCCTTATTATATAAGTTCATTATGGTTGGTTAGTGAACGGGGGCAATTGGGATGCTCTAGATTACTTGTGATTGGGGTATAAAATTGAGGATATGCTACGTGGGTGTCTTCCCTACTTACAGATGGGTATGTACATGTGTGCTGTGGACACGGTAGCAGGTGAAAGGAATGGAATCGTGATGTCAAATTATAGGTGAGTGTAAAGGGGTAAATTCTACGCCTTACTTATTCTTTTAAGTATTTTAGTGAATTGGTTATCATTGCTTGATTAAGTTTATGATTGATTATTTGTGCTTTGCTTGAGCTATGTTTGATGTGAATGTGCATGAGTTCTTATTTAATTTAAAGCTTTACGTTTATAAGTTATTGTTAAAGTTAAGAAACAAGTTCTTTTTAAGAAGTAACTCACCTTCAAGAAGGTGAAGTCTTTTTAAGTGTTTTTAGTCACTAGCGCCAGTCCGTTGCCTTTTGAGACATTTTAGATAGAGCAGCAGTTATACTCTTGAGACTTTTAAGATGGGCAGCAGTTATGCCCTTGAGAATCGTGGCGAAGAGCCACCACGATGAGTTTAAGATGTTAGGGGGATGAATCGTTACGACTTCCCTAACTAAGTTTAAGTTTAAGGAAAGCCTGGATGACTTCTCATACGTATGAGTTGGCAACCGGACTAGCTAGTAAGGGATCCCCGTGTCAGTCAAGAATTTAAGTAGAGATTTGAGTTTTAAGAGTACAGTTTCAAGAGTCAAGATTTTTAATAGTGGAGGTATAAAACAACTTCCACTAAGTTAAGTGATCAAGTATTAATAAGATGTTAAACGTAAGGGCGTAGACTGACCTAGGGGTGGGAAACGGTCCAGTCCGGTTAAAATTGGACCGGATTGACCCGGTTTTTTACAATCGTTTTGGCCAATATCGCAACCGGAGATGAGATTGGATTGGATCCGGTTTTAACCAAAACCGGACTGGATTGGATCCGGTTTTAACCAAAACCGGACTGGATTGGATCCGGTTTTAACCAAACAACCGGATGGATTAATTAAATTAAACTAAGCGTCGCCGTCTAAGTCATTTTGACTGGACAAAAGTAAAAAAATCGTCTGACCTACATAGTACAGCAACCACACAATTCTTATCTCCTTTCAAATCCCAATTGCTCACGAATCTTCTTCTCCTCTCCGCTTCTCAACTATTCGACGATGGCGACGGCGAGCAACCTCTTCTCGCTTGGAGCGACCGACGAGGTTTTAGAATGACGGAGTGGCAGATTACAGAGGCGAGCCCTGGTGGCAGGGTGGTTGTGGCCGAAGAGAGAGATCGGAGTCGTGGTAGCTCCTCTTCCTCCATGCATCCACCTTCTGGCAAGCACGGTTACCGATCCTAGTCCGAAGAAGGCGAACATGCAGCGGTCGGCGGTCGATGGAGGGTCGAGTGGCGAAGGGTTGATCGGCGGAGGGTCTGCGGAGGGTCGGCGAAGGGTCGATTGGTGGAGGGTCGAGTGGAGAAGGATCGGCGGAGGTCCAAAGCTTGCTCTGGTTAGGATGGGCAATCATTTGATTTCACTGTTGAAGCAAACATAAAAACAAATTTGATCCCGTCTAATAATAATCACCCATCCAAACCAGAGCTTGTGGAGTTGGAGTTGGAGTTGGTGAGGCGGAGAGGTTGTAGTTTGTGTGTGGGGATTTAGAAGAGACAGAGAGATGGTGGGATAGAGAGGCGGCCGTCTCTAAGAGTGGGAAGGGGAGACTTGAGAGGAAAGCGGGGATCTGGGAATTGGGTTAGGGTTAGGGGGAGTTAGAGTGGGCTGAGGTGAGAGAGGGAGTGGGCATGGGCTGGGGTGGGAGTGGGCCTGGAATGGGTTAGGATAGTTTTATTATTATAATTCGGTTTTTCCGGTTTTAATCGGATCGGACCGGTCATACTAACACTAAAACTGTAAACTGGATTGGGTTAATGGATATTCGGTTTCCGGTTTTAACCAGAGCGGTTTTAACTGGCCGGTTTTCGGTTTGGCTGGAAAACCGAAACCAGATTCCCAGCCCTAGACTGACCCCATCACACTCACCAGTTTGGAGAGCTAGTGGAAGAGCTAGAGGAGCATTTAGTGAGCAGCGAATTCGAGGGCAGGCAGCTAGAGGAGGGCAGTATAAGCGTCACAGAGGATGCTTAGTCAAGGTTTGAGTAGCAACAACATTAGAGATTATTAGTTATTTACATTTATGATTATGAGTATAGACTGGAGATCAATTTGAGATTTTAAGTATTGAGTTTGCCCATGTGTTAGGGCGTTGCTTTGAACTACAAGTGCGTGTTTTCAATAAATTTTATTTAGTAAAACTTTTCCCAGTTGCAATTTAAGATTTGAGTATGTTATTTATCAAGGGCATTTTAGTAAAAGTAGTACCCGTCCGGGTTAGGGTGTTTCACCTCTAATGGGTGAACCCTTAACCCCGATCCATAATTCTCTAACCCAAGTCACAAGATTCATTTAATCTAAAAAATAATAATCGATGGTTTTGATTCAACAAAATATATTGAAGGGCAAAAAACAAGTGTGAACACAACCGTACAGCGTACGCTAGTCTTTACAGTATATGGTGGCTTCTATGGTACCCCGGGTGAAATCCGGGGTACCGCATACCTCGAGTATGTAAACTCTATCTAGACCTCGAATTACCAGGATTTTTGTGTATGATATTATACCCTAACCCTTAATGAGTGAACCGTAGGTCATAATTATCTAAATCATAATCTATAAACCCTAAGATGGTGCATTCCTTTTTGTGCCTATATTTGGATGAATCATAACCGTCGATTATTGTTTCTAATTAAATTGATCTCAACCGTCAAATTTTGTTTTTCATTAAATCACACTTCGGGTTGGGGTTTAGAAAATCGGTGCCTGGGGTTTATCCATTAGAGGTTAGGGTATAGTATCATACCCCAAACTCGATTAAATTCATGGTCTAGTTAGAGATATCTTACTAGTAGTACCTGACGTATAGTATACGCCTGACGTATATATATATATATATGGTGCCTTCTACGGTACCCCGGGTGAAATCCGGGGTACCGCATACCTTGAGTATAAAAACGCTATCAAGACATCAAATTAGCAGGATTTTTTGGCATGATACTATACCATAATCCTTAATGAGTGAACACTAGGTCATAATTATCTAAATCATAAACTATAAACCCTAAGATGTGCATTTATTTTTTTTCCTATATTTGGATGAATCATAACCGTCGATTATTGTTTCTAATTAAATTAATCTTGGGGTATAAGATTTAGAAAATTAAGACCTAGATTTTGATCTTTAAGGGTTAGAGTATAGTATCATGTCCGAAAGATCAGTCAATTCAAAGTTCTGGATAGCGTTTTCTTACTCAATGTATGCGGTACCCCGGATTTCACCCTGGGTACCGTAGAACTCCCCATATATATGGGTCACACTCGTATGCGCCAGACACAAACTATGCGACAGGATTTCTACACCGTAGATCTAATCTAACGGTGTTTATTAATTGGAATTAAATTATTTAATTTTTACAATTTTTAAATGATTAAGGATCGGAGAAGGAGAGAGTGCAGACTCGAGAGGTGGGCCGAAGTGCGGATCGCCGATAGCGGTGGGTAGGTACGCTGCCGTCAATTGACGGTGAACGACTATGAAATGGGCCACGGAAAATCAAAACGGTACCGCAGCACCGGAAACGACACCGCAGGCCAAAAATAAATGGGCCGCACGTTTAATGAAGGTTGGAGGAGGAGTTTTGATTATTTAATTACTATTTTTTTATTCCTTGTGAGAAGCGGCACCGCTGAGAGTTAAAAAGGTACCGCAAGGAAGCTCAGCGGTGCCGCGGCATTGGAAACGGTACCGAAAGACAAAAGGGGGCCGCGCCGGTGGTTTCTTGTTGGAGAATGAGTTTTTTCTCCTCTAATTAATTATTATCCTCTTTCCTTGTCGGAAGGGGAAAATCGGTACCGCATGGAGACAAGCGGTATCGTGGAGAGTTAAAACGGTACCGCGGATTTAAAAACGGTGCCGCGAGAGCCTGGTAAGCGGTACCGATCAATTAAAAATCATATCGGGCAAGTGACCAAAATTCACCCGGCCCAATGCGAGCGCCGACTGCGGCGGTTCCATGGATTAATATTTTTTGGCTATATCGGCGGTGTCGTTTAAATTCAAAACGGTACCGCGAGTAAGCCGAACGGTACCGCGGATTAGCAAACGACAGTGTTTAAATAAGAGACAATGTCGCAAAAGGGAAAAACAAACGGAGTTGTTGTGGCGCGAGTGATGTCGTTGGCCATAGCTAGTGATGACCGGATTGATTAACTAATATTGTTAATGATTATTCAGGACGGTGTCGTTTAGTTGAAAACGATGCCGCGGAGAAGTAAAACGACATCGTGGTAATGGTAAGAGTTCGGCCAAAGGCAGCCCGCCAAGCCCAACGATGGCCCAATAGTAGAGAACGACGTTGTTTTGATGGACTAACAATGTCGTTGGTTAAACCGGGTCGGGGCAGTTGAGTTGGATTATAAAACGACACCGGTTGATGAAAGGCGATGCCGTGGTGTTGGTGAAACGACATCGTTACATGGACAAGGTTGTAGGTTTCTGCAAAGCAAGAGCGGTTTCGAGGGCACGTGATTATCACGCAACAAGGAGGAAGTTACCTGCACGGTTGACAAAGGTGAAGAGGTGGGAGACAAAGGCGCGAAGGCAGTTACTACGACGAAGAGAAGCGCGAAGTATAAAGATTGGGAAGAGAGAGAAGTTCAGGGACGGAAAAATCAAATCACAACTGCACCATAGCGGAATTTATCTTTTTCTCTCTAGTTCGTAGAACTTCTCTGTCAAAGACCTCCTTTGCAGAGTCGTAGTAGTTGTAGATCGTAGTCTTAGTTGCGGAGCTCTCCAGAGGAACCTCCATAGGAGTAGAGCTAACGTAACTTAGAACACTCCCGGTTCGATTTTCTGGTTATTCGCCGAACACCCTCGTTCGAACGTAGTTTGGAGAGGTGGTGAACCGAATAACGGTTGTTTGATTAGAAGTCAAGGGTGTATCGATCAAATCAACGACGCCGACACCGGCGCCGGATATTTGACGATCTTCTTTGTTTTCTGTTCGATCGATCAAATCAACGGCGCCGACTTTGGCGACGGATATTTGAC